CCAAGTCAACCACCACACACGACGATGCGGATAATTGGCTACACTGATACAACAAACCCAATCAAGCTCCATGAACCAACCTCTAATAATATGCGAAGAGCCGGAACAAGCAATCATAGCACCACATACATCTAAACTAAAAGGACACTAAAAAACAAGTGATCACGAGACTTTGCCCCATTCGTACACAAAACACACGAGATAGGTATTGAGGAAACCCACTCATACAATCGGTCCCTCCTATAGAGACGATTACAAATCACCAACCAAGCAATAACATAGTGTTTGAGAAATTATTATATTTTTATCTCTTATATTTGAGTAATTATTTGTCGCGTTATTGTGTCGATGTGTGATTTGGTTTTAGATATTAAACACTACTTTTAGAGTTCTACAATTTCAAGTGGGGTGAAATTGTAAATTTATGACTTCTAATGAAGGTTTATTATTATCATCTTTTCCGGTTAAATTAGATTTGGGTCCTCAATTGGTATTATTATTGAACCTATATTTGCAATTTTTTTTCTCTCTATTTACTAATAAATTGATTTTAACTTTACCTTTAACCGGTAACTGATTTAGATTTCTATCTCTACCAAAAAATCGAAATTCCGAATTCCTACCTCTACATGTTGCATTAAAATAATACTCGTAACTAATATACTCTAATCAATAAGATTGATATTGTTGAGGGAGAAATCCGAGCAAGACAAAAAGCGGGTTCCAAGAGAGATAGCGAGGCACGGAACCACAAGCAGTTATCGTCGTACTCCTCATAGGCGTACGAGTATGTCGCCATCGTAATTGTACGAGAGAGACGACCTACTGTTTGCAACCTACAGGGGACAAGCTCACTTGTGGAGGCGCCACCCACTCAGTGGCAGGAGCATCCGTCCTTGTATCAGGGCCTTGTACAACTTGGCACGCCCTTGCACTCGAGACCCGTCTGCACCTATAAAAGGGAAAGACCCCATCACTACCAAGTAAGTGAAAAACTTGTCACTGAAATCTTTAAAGTGTCTACTCATATTTTCTCTTATTTTGATTACCGACTTGAGTGTTTGAATACATTAGGTGGGACACTGCACCGACGTCAAATTTTCTGGCTCCAGGATCATTTCCTCCTTGACGAAGACGTTTTTTTGAATGGTACGTAGATCTCTCCAAAATTTACCGTCAACATATATAATTTAAATTAATTAAATTACAGTAATAGAAAAGTGATAATAAATAGAGTTACGCGTTATTAAATTATAATAAGATAATATATTTAATAACCTTAGGATAATTGAATCAACTCAGTAAATACAAAACCTAAATTCAAATGTAAAATCTATTATGTTCCCACGTCAAATTTAATTCAGTCTTTGAAATCTTCCACTCGCGAGCAAGTTATAAAATTTTAATAAAATTAAGTTATGATATTCTAAAACCAAATATGGGATAAATGATGCATAAACTACTTGGATATTATATTGACTTTGCAACTACGCATGCAAAATTTTAATTACAAAAATTAAACCTTTAAACTTTTAATGAAAATACTAGGCCGTAGGCCGTTATTTCAAATTCTGCTTGTTCGATATGGACTCCTGTGGATAACATAGAGATAAAAATCAAGTTTATTTACTTCAAATGAGAAGAAAATAAGTCAATCAATCTTATAAAAATAAATACTCATTAAAATCTTGGACGGGAGCATGCCACATCACTTTAATAACATTAAAAGTTTAGAGATGAAACCAGATTGAAAATCTTAGTAAAATTAACAATAATTAAAATATATCATTTAAGTTCTTAAAATTAGTAGACTTATTGAAGAATTATTGTATGCTACACTACTAAATTAATTATTTTGAGTATAATAAATGTAGAGTGAATATATATATAAATATTCGAGTTTGAAAAAACGAACAAGATGCTTTAACTATTAAGTTATGATCTGTTGTAAACTTAATACTTATTTCTTAATTTGTTACACGTGTATACATAAATATTAAAAAGAATAATTCATTTATTAGTCCATATCTTCGGTCGATGGTAAGTTTGAATCTCTACTCTAAATAATACATTCAGGAAAACGAAAAAGAAAAAGAAAAAGAAAAAGAAAAAGATCCACCCATGACGGGATATGCTTATCCGATTAATATCATTATTATTATTTGATTACACTATAATTAGAGATACTCCTCGATTAGTGAAAAATAAATTATAAAATATGTCAACAGAGAATCCTCGAAGCATTTACCATACGTAATGTAACACCAAATCATTAGGTTAAAGTAAAATTATTGATTAATCGGTCCCATAATTTTTCCTCATTAAAATAATTAGTTACTTGCTAAATGGGGGAAGGAAGGCGGAGAAGGCCACATGGTAATTTGAAAATTATTTATTATTTTTAGATTCCCAAAACGGCCCACCAATTTGCATTTATTTACATTTTCTGCTCCAACCAGCTAGAGGCTGTGGTTGTGCCACGTAGCAGTATGGAATAAAGCTAATGGATAATGAAGATCAGTGGCCTGCAAAAGCCCTAGAATAAGAGGGAACAAAAAAAAAGAGGAAAATTGGTGGGAAATTTGAGAAAGGGCACAACTTGGTTTCGGAGCGAGCACAGGGGGGCGAAAAAATAATTGGGAATTTATTTTATTTTATAGTATCGATTATAAACGGTCCGTGTTTTTTGTGGGAAGATTTTGTGTGCTCTTTTTTTGTTTCCTCATTTTTTTAGTGAAAAAGTACAGAGATTTTATGAGGTGGTGGTGATTTTGGGCGGGGTGCGAACTAAAACATCGGTTTCTCTGGTGGAGTGAGTGCTCTCACCGCTCGGGGCTGGCCTTGCAGAACCTGAATTCTGCTATTTCATGACGATTTTTGTGACCATCTTGCTATTTAGCTTCTTCATGAAGGTGGGTTTGTTTCTTTCTCCTGTTACTTTTGCCCCATCATTGAGAATTCTCTATATTTTTTCTCAAAAGGGTTGTTTGTGGTCTCATTTACTGTTTCCTTTCCACTGTGTTTAGTGAATGATGATTTTGCAGCCCTTGATTTGTTAATCTAGTTGTGGCTAACGGCCTTAGGTGGTTTATGGCAAACTGGCTGATAGCCATAACTAGATTAAATAATCAAGGGTCCTAACTAGCTAACTAACTTAGTTTAATCATACTTAGTTACATCAGTTTGACTGGGATGGTGGGTTGCTATTTGTGCAAAAGCTTTGGTGTTCTAACTTCACTGTCTTCACATTTGAAACCAGCAGGGGAATTGATCACAGGAGTCTGTGAAGTTGAGGTTTCTTGGGCTTTCAGGAAGATGGGGATATTGATCAGTTTTTGCGCTCGTTTGTGAGGTACTAATATAGAGTGATAATGGTAGAAGACAGGGATTGTGATAGTAGTGGCATGATATATCCAATCATCGGATGTGTGTGTACCGGTTTACATGCAGCTTTAAGTGGATGACAATGGAGACATCATCTGATCACCTTAAGAACCAGGACGATTCATCTGGGGTTTGTGAGGAAGATATACTGGCCGACCCCTATGTGCGTTCTATTAAATGGAGTGATGTTAGCTTGAGGCAATGGTTGGATAAGCCAGAAAGATCTGTGAATGCTCTGGAGTGCCTTCATATATTTAGGCAAATAGTGGAGATTGTTAACATAGCTCATTCACAAGGCATTGTTGTTCATAATGTGCGTCCTTCATGCTTTGTGATGTCCTCTTTCAACCACGTAACTTTTATTGAGTCTGCATCATGTTCAGATTCTGGCTCTGATTCTCTTGAGGATGGACTAAATAGTCAAATTGCAGAGGTCAAAAAATCATCTTCTCCCTTCCCAAGCAGCCATGGAAGCGAGGGGTTTCGATCAGTTATGACCCCCATAAATACTTTGTCGGAAACTAGTTGTATGCAGTCCAGTTCAGTATATGCAGCACATATGCCATTAAACGAAGGGTCTGGAGAATGTAGAAAGAAAGATAGAAGACATATTGAAGAAGCAGAAGATAAGATGCAATCATTTCCAATGAAACAGATATTGGCCGTGGAGACTACTTGGTACACTAGCCCCGAAGAGGCTTCTGGTGGCCCCAGTTCCAGTGCTTCAGATATATACCGTTTAGGAGTTCTTCTTTTTGAGGTTAGTAGTGCAAGTTCCACCCATGTTATTTTAATATTGAATGATTTAGGTTTTTGGATGCCTGGTGCTATTTTTACTTCTCCAGGCTCCTAGGTTGCCAGTAACACTTTCAGCACCTTTGGAATTTCTATTTTAAGTTTATATATTAGCTTGTCTGATAATGACACTTGTGACCCAGTTATTCTGCTCCTTCAGCTCGAGAGAAGGGAAGAGTAAAACTATGTCGAGCTTGAGACATAGAGTGCTTCCTCCTCAATTGCTGTTGAAGTGGCCAAAAGAAGCTTCATTTTGCTTATGGTTACTGCATCCTGAGCCAAGTAATCGGCCTAAGCTAAGGTGAACCCTCCTTTCACTGTGGACTTCTCGGGTTAATAATCTTTGCATAAGCTGTTTTGCGTCACCTGTGATTTTCCTTTTAAAGATAAGTTTGCATTAAATGAACTGGAACCATTTCTTTCTCCAGAAATCATCGAGTTGGAAGCAATAACCATGCAACTACTTTGAAGCTTAATTTGTTTCATAAGTTTCTACGTTTGTGCTTGTTTATTTTCCTGGTGAGATGTCTCTGCAGTTAAATGAATTGGTATTGTTCAGCTAATCTCATGAATGCTACTAACTTCTTTTATTGTATCCATGTAAAATTCTTTTAACAATGTTTGAAATGTGGATATTTCTTCTTACATGAAAATCAGATCAGGGTCCAACTTGATAACATTTATATGTTAAAGAGTACGATTACATCCATGATTGAAACAACTAGTCAACAATTAAATGAATCTAGATGTCATCATTTTATTTTCGTTTCAGCTGTTTTTTTAGGGAACGGAGTTATTATTACTAAGGAAAGTTACAAAAAAGCACACAAGGCGATAAGACATTACCTTGGGGAAGTTCTAGGGATTACAAAACAGAACTCTCAAATTTTTTTTTTTTAAAAAGAGAACCCTAAATTGGAAATAGATAATTTGTCCTACTCCCGAAAGGAGCAGAAAACTGTATAATTCCCGTCAATTATCCTTTCTTTTTATTCAAATGAGCCAAAGAAGACCGTGAACTTCATTTCTTTAAAGAATCCCTCTTCACTTTTGAGAGGAATTCCATGAAGGCATTTATATATGAAGTCCACTACACTTCATGAGGCACGACATGAAAAAATTCTTTAGATTTGGTAATTTCACATTCATGTAGGTAGTCATATAATAGTAAAATTAAATCGAGCAAGAAAGAGAGGGAGTGTTCAAGAATTGGACTTGAGGCCAATCTGACTGGTGTGCTTGATGGACTTCACTTCATGAGGCACGCCATGAAAAATTCTTTAGATTTGGTAATTTCACATTCGTGTAGGTTGTCATATAATAGTAAAATTAAATCGAGCAAGAAAGAGAGGGAGTGTTCAAGAATTGGACTATCAAATTAATATTATTTGGAGACTTTTATAAGCAAGATCTATATATGCTATAAAACTGCAAGACATTCTATTTCTGACTATTAATTCAGACTGACTGCTTGCTGTAGTTTCATATACAAATATTTGTGTACTGAGACTTTTATCACAATGTATAATATGATTTTTTCCCCTGTTTCCTTCGCTTAGCGATGTGTTGAAGTCGAGCTTATGCATCTTACTCATTCTAGATTTCAGAATTAGAGTCGTCTTGCATTGTATTTTCATTTACTGCATCTTGTTTGGAATGTAATTGTTCTTTAGCGAATGGTGTTAGCTCTAAGTATACATCTATCTAGAAGAAGCAGTTATCATGCTTCCCTTTTCTTCTTGTTTTACAGTGAGTTATTGCAGAGTGAATTTCTTAATGAACCAAGAGATGATCTAGAAGAACGTGAAGCAGCAATCGAGCTTAGAAAAAGAATTGAGGAGCAGGATTTGCTGCTAGAATTTCTTTTGCTTACACAACAAAGAAAACAGGAAGCTGCTCATAGGTTGCAAGATACTGTATCATTTCTGTGCAATGACATCGAACAAGTCACGAGACACCAAACTAATTTCAGGAAAAAGAATGGTTCTTGCCCAGATCTTGAGAAGGACAATCATTTGCAATTAAATTTCCCTTCAATGACTCCTGTTGAAAATACTGATTCTGCTAGCTTGGGGTCAAGGAAACGATTTAGGCCAGGAATTTTGATCCATGATATGGAAGCATGCGGTGATAATCTTGATGACAGTGAGAAGTCAAGCTCAGCTAATGAAAATGAACAAGGCGTACTTTTTAAGAGTTCTCGGTTGATGAAGAACTTGAAGAAATTGGAGCTAGCATATCTTTTGATGAGAGGTAGGGTAAACAAGCCATCGGGGAGGCAGTTTGTTAAGCACTCGTCTATAAGTAGTGATGGTAGAGGGTCGGTTGTTATGACTGAAAGAAGTTCAGTTAATAATTTGGCTCCCAAAGAGAGTTGCAATGATAATAGACAAGGTGGGTGGATAAGTCCATTCCTGGAGGGTTTGTGCAAGTATCTATCCTTTAGCAAGTTAAAAGTCAAGGCAGACTTGCAGCAAGGCGATCTGTTGAATTCCTCCAACCTAGTATGTTCTCTCAGTTTTGACCGTGATGGAGAATTTTTTGCCACAGCCGGTGTTAATAGGAAAATCAAAGTGTTTGGATATGACTCAATCATAAATGAAGACCGTGATATTCATTACCCTGTTGTTGAAATGGGTAGCAGGTCAAAACTAAGCAGTGTTTGTTGGAATCGTTACATCAAAAGTCAAATTGCTTCAAGTAACTTTGAGGGCATAGTGCAGGTAACTGATGCCACAAATTTAATCCACCTTTGAAATTATGTTATTTTGTGGTCATATTGTTTTACGGTGTGTTTAGGTGTGGGATGTCACAAGAAGTCAAGTAGTCACTGAAATGGGAGAACACGAGAGGCGCGTATGGTCCATCGACTTCTCATCAGCCGATCCAACAATGTTGGCTAGCGGGAGTGATGATGGTTCTGTTAAGCTATGGAGTATCAATCAGGCAATTCTATTTTTGCACTTGGTGGATGTCCGCTTTGAAACTAAACGTACTACAGTAATCTAATTGCATGCTGGCGATATTTATCTGGAATGTTTGATAATTTGTTTCTTACTTGGGTTGCTACTGCAGGGTACAAGTATTGGCACAATCAGAACAAAAGCCAATGTCTGCTGTGTACAGTTTCCTGCGGATTCTGGTCGGTCCCTCGCATTTGGTTCAGCAGATCACAAAATTTATTACTATGATATTCGGAATATAAGAGTTCCTTTGTGCACCTTCACTGGACATAACAAAACTGTAAGTTACGTCAAGTATATAGACTCGAGCACACTTGTTTCTGCATCCACTGACAACACCTTGAAGCTCTGGGATTTGTCCACATTCACCTCTCGGGTTGTCGATTCCCCAGTCCAGTCATTCACGGGCCACATGAATGTAAAGGTACCATGTTGAACACTTTTCAACTTATTGTTATAAAACTTCTCCTTTGTAGGAAGAAAGTTTGTTGTGCAACTTTGATCATATATTCTAAAGTTTCCCCATCTAGATTGGTTAAAAGAATTAATTCTCACTCTACCACCAGATTCATGTTTTAATCGAAAAACACACGGGTGTTGACTCCAATCTTTTGGGTTGGGCTCAAATAGAAGCTGTGTAGTGTTTGGTTTATTGGCATAAAATATAATAGAATGAGAATGAAAGGTGGAAAGGAGTTGGAACAGGAATTATTATCTTATTTGGTTTAGCATATGAAACAGATGGGTGAATTACGAATCTGAATGATTATTTTGTATAGTAGTTGTTATTATTTTCAATATCTGTGAGTGTTTGGGCCTTGTTTATATGCATCTCAACTAATTTTTGTAGTAGAAAGGGGCTTATTAGGTGTGGAAATACCTCTAGAAAGCAATGAAGTCCCCACTATAAATGGTTATGGAGGTCTCTGCATGAAACAAATGTGTTACGGCACTAGGTTTTTTTGTTTTTTTTGAGAAATCGAACTTTTCATTGAGAAAAAATGATAAAAGACAGAATATATAAGAGCTTACAAAAAACTATGATTCTATGATTTCTAGTGTTATAGCACAAGGTTATTTCCTGCAAGTATGATATTGAAGAGTTTAGTTGGTGCCCAAGGGTTACTAAATCTTCTAGTCCCGTTCTTGGTGTAATCACTTTAATACCATTAGACTTCAGTTTGTTTTCTTTTCCCTAATTTGACCTTAGTCTTCACTCTTCATGCGCTCTCTCCTTCTCGAACAGAAATCTGAAGTCCTTTGTCTTGATGTATTTGGAGATATTATTTGGAATTGGTACATTGGATTGGAAAGAACATTTAAGTTTAAATTTATTGAAAGCAGCGTCTAATTTACACCAAGAGAGGGTCACAAAAGTAGTGTTTTGAAAAGAGTCAAAAGGCTTTTTTTTTTCCCTTCTAAATTGTTGAAGGTTCTTTGTTCCTCTTGAGTCATAGGGCTTTGAAAAATGTCTTTGGGTTTCTGCCTCTTTTCAAGCACAAATGAAGGATGCCTCCTCTGGGGGGATTTTGTATATTACATTTTCTTATAGATCATTAGTTTCTCATTAAAAAAATTACTTTGTTATACGAATATAGTAATTAGGCTAAATTATAAAAATACTTCTGAACTTTGCCCTTTGTTTTAGAAATGCCCCTATCCTTTCAAAACTACCCTCTTGACCTTTTGTAGACGTTTCAAAAACACCCTTTGAACAAACATCCGTTAAACTTTTGATAGAAAAGTTGACATGGTTGAATCTGAAACGACGTGACGATAAACTTGGAAGCTTGCCTAGATTAAGTTTGAAAAGAGAGGAAGTGTTGAAGAAACTATCATTTTTAAAAGGGAGGATTGTGGCATTGGGGCAAACTTCTATGTTAACTGTCACGATTCTGCCACGTCAATATTACAATGTATATATTTAAGATAATACATTACATTTTTCGTTGAGATGGTGGAAAAGAAAGTGTAAGGGAATGTGCATCTTTTTAGTATTGTACACTGGAGTGGAGAATCTATCTTCATTTAAACATTAACAAACAAAACTACAGAATGCTTCCTTCTTTCCACCCTTTTCACCATCCTAAACACTACCTACTATTACTTCAATATTTGTTTGATCATCAAAAATGTTATATGGGTTGTGAACGACACTTTCATACCATGGCTGTTATTTATGTTTGATAAGTTCTTATTGAACGATCCCCTTCATTTGACATGAAAATTGGGGCTAGTTAACCTAATTGGACTGATAAAGAGCCCTTCACCCTGGAAAAAGTACTCAAGTTGATGAATAACTGATGCTTATTGGGATTTTCATTGCAGAACTTCGTGGGACTATCAGTCTCTGATGGGTACATTGCTACAGGTTCAGAGACAAATGAGGTCAGTTTCTTGCATCAATTTACTTTTTTGTTTATTACCACTACCCCCATCCGTTCTCTTCTTCATTCCATAAGAACGATTCTCCACCGTACCATGTTGAAAAAATGTGTATGTTACTGTATCTAATCTTCATATTATCTCATTAGCTTTGGGAATATGTTTATGTTATTCCATGGATTAGGTTTTTATCTACCACAAAGCCTTTCCAATGCCAGCATTGTCGTACAAGTTTCAAATGGATCCTCTTTCCAGACACGAAATGGACCACACCGTGCAGTTTATCTCTTCAGTTTGTTGGCGTGGCCAGTCGTCTTCATTAGTAGCTGCTAACTCAACTGGGCATATCAAAATTTTGGAAATGGTTTAGAGAGAGCCAATGGTATTTAAATAAGGGTAAGTGTTTGCAGAAAATATTGAGGCAGAGTAGTATGTTGTATACCCAAGAAGCTTGTGCAGCTATATAGTTTTTACAGAAGGTTAGATCTTTAATATTGAGCAACAGTAATTTGGCATTAAATCATAGTGGGTGGGGGGCTTTTGTTTGGAAGAGATTGCTCTTGGTTAAGTCTGTAGATAGAAATTCAAGGGAGGGGAAGGGGGGGTATCCCTATTCTTGTATAAATTGAATGCAAAATGGTTCAAAAGCAATTTAGTATATGGTAGTCTTGCTGATCTCTCTCAACCATTCCTTGTGAAAATTTCCACTCCGCTCGTAGTACCTACTCTCTTTATTTACGTTATGGATTCATATATAGTTCTTTAATGTCGAAAGACTCTACATTTTTGAATGATGTTAATGTGGCAAACTATAGATAAAAGTAGTATACGTTCTATATAGTAAAGGAAATTTACCCTATTCTTTTCCCTCTATTGGTTTTCATCTTTCTCGCTACTTTTTGGCATTGATAACTCTTTTATAGGGGTGCACGTTGGTTCGGTTTTCTTGGTTTTGGACCGAATTCAGAACTGAATTGATGTACTCGATTTTTGTAAATAGGAAATGGACCGACCGTCTAGTTAGGCTAGTTTGGTTCTTTTCGATTTAGCATGAGATTTGGGCGTGATATGGATTTGGTATGGAAGTCAATTTTGGGTCTCTACCAGAGAACGATCAACAAAGATGAATGAGGGGAAGAATGGGAAGAATGGAAACAATAAGGCTAGAGGGGGCGAGCAGTGGTGACATCTAGGCAAGGAGGGCTGAGGGTGACGAATAAATTGGCAGCGATTGGGAGGGACGAACTGATTAGCAATGGCTGGGAGGGACTAAGACTGGATGACGAACAACACGAGTGAAGGCTGAGAGAGACGACGGTACAAGTGGGAGTAGAAAAAGGGTTCGAGGATGAGAAAGAAGGCAGGCTAGGGTTTGTGCAAATATATATTATATATATAACTTTGGTTCGATTTGATGTCTAATATTTTAAAAATAAATCGAACAAACCGTTGATTCGGTTTGATTCGTTGGTTTTGTGGTGTGTTTTTAGCACTCCTACTCTCTTTCTTATATGTAGTGGAAGATTTTGAATTTGAGGCCGTTTATTTTTTTGGGAATGGAGATGTCTTGCATCTTTAGACGCTTGAAATTTCAGATGTCCAGAATTTTAAATATCCGGTATTTTCAGATGATCATGTTTGTTTCGTAGGAAAATATATAAAGATGTCCGAGAATATATAAGGATGTTCGAGAATATTTGGATAACCACGTTCGTTTTGTAGGATTTATTTATGGGAAATGTTTTAAATTTATATAATATTCCAAAAACGTCCTTACGAATATTCATAATTTATACATTAATCTAATATAATTTGCATTTATATAATAGGTTTTCTTAAATTAATTTAATATTTTAGGTTTTTTTATTTATATTAATTGCGTATATGTATTAATTTTTGTATGTTATTAGGTAGAATTCATATTAATATAAAACTTTTTAAAAAGTAATTAATATTGAATATAAATTTCATTTTCAATTTTATTATTTTTTGAAAAATACAATTATATAATTAATGTTATATGGGGTAAAATTCATTTATTATATTATCAAATCATATTCTTTTAGGAAGAAAAATATCAAAGGTAAACTTATCGTTAGAAAAATGTTGCTTTAAAATTATGTATTTAAGATAATAAATATTATTCATAATAATTCATTCCAAATATTAAAAGTAAATGAAAATATTATATAATTTAATTGAAGTTTATTTTATATGTACGTGTCATACATAAATATACTTAATTGCTTATTAGTCAATGAGTATATTAATTTATTTAAACTATAAAATTACAAATAACATCAAAGGAATTTGATAAGAGAAAATATATGAAAAAATAACGAATGGGTAAAAATGTCAACACAGGATGCCTTCGACATAGGAATCATGGTGTTAGAGTATATATTAGTATATTTTATATTCTTGTACTAATATTAATTTGTCATTTACCTTCTCCTTATAGGATTAGGTCAACCTTGTATATTTGTCTATATATAGAGACTTTAATAATGAGAATATTGGATTCTCTCCATTTTTAGTCTCTACATGCTATCAGAGCTCTAGGTTTCTTGCCCATTAGGGTTTTGTGTCCATTAGGGTTTTGATGCCCATTAGAGTTTTGTGCCCATTAGGGTTTTGATCTCCATTAGGGTTTTGTGCCCACTAGGGTTTTGTCCCTTTGTTCA